AATGAGTTGATTTTACACATGAATCAGGCCCGAGTCTTTTCCACAGTTGCTCTTTGACACATGGAGCACACAAGAAAGAGTGTTCTGCTGGATCCAGCGTGCAGTAGATGGAGCAACCTATAACCTCACTTTGACAGTGACTCGCTCTGCTTTCATGTAGGCGCAATCGGACATCACACAGACTTTGTGGAAGCGAGCTGACGATGAAAAGAGTGTGGCTGTCACATCTAACTACATTGAATTCTCACACACGGTTACAGCTTTGCATCGGTCAGGCGGCCAGAATGACTGCAAATGAAGCCACTGTGGTCTGGGTGTGCAAAGGAACTTTTTGTTTGATTTTCTGCTGGCGTGTCTGAGTGTTTGATAACTTTAGTAGATATACCATTTAAAAGTAGAGACTAGTGTTCATCTCCACTGAATTTGTTGGCATTTTCACAAATTAAAGGACCCATTTGTGACCTTTCTTTTTTAAACATTTCACACAGAAAAAAATTACTCTGCCCAACTCAGGAGACCAGGGAAAATAACATCTGTCACAGAATAGGTCCATTAGGATTTCAAGGTTTGCTACACAACTAGTCAGTTGGCTGGCATGCTAAAGCAGAAAAAACAGACAGAGGAAGAAAATCAATAATAATAATAATAATAATAACAAGAAAACAAGGTCATAGAAGCCTATTACGAGGAAACTGTGCTATGCTATGGAGTGCTGAGTACGTGGACAATGGCACTAAGGAGAAAACACAGCCTATATCAACAAAGGAGGGAAAAACAGGTGCAGAATAATAGGACAGGGAAGCAAACAATACACACTAATGTTGATATATATTTTGGTGATTTATTGGTTATATCCTTTAGGATTTAATGTCATCTTTACACATTTGTAACATTACATCCAACAGTTGGATAGATTTTTCACTCTGGATTACTGTATGAGACACAGTGTTCACCTGAAACATCTTGACTAACACCTCCTTGACTAACCGATCAGGATGTCAATCTGTGTCATTTTTCAAGTATGAAAATGCACACGTACGTTACCCAGTACTCAAAGCTGAATAGCCTATTTACACTGCTTACTGAGCGACCCAGGGTCCCTGAGGAGTGATGGACATATGTATTTTTGGTGCTGATGTTCCTCGACTTCCTGGTTTGTGGGTTTGTTCGTGTGTGTGGATGTGTGTGTGTGCTGAGCACTGGTCTACAGGAGTCTTCATGCCTGGTGGGTGTGTCCTGCCAGGTGGCTGGCCACGCCTAAGGACCTCACACACCTGCAGCTGATCTGGTTCGTTGGGGGAGCTACATAGGGGTGTAGCTGAGAGCTCCTTGACGCGGGATCATTGAGTTACACTCCAAGTTAGTGTGTGTCTAGTCTAGTGTAGTGTCGTGCAGGCCCGCGGGAGTTGTGTTTGACGGCTGTTGTTTCCCTGCAGGAGGAGCGTGGAGCAGAAGAGGACAGCACGCACGGGGTGTGCTGGTTATTTACTTCACTGTAAATAAACGCACTGTCTTCATTAAAGAGTCCAGCATTTGGGTCCTCCTTCCTCACACCCCCACGGTTGGCCAGCATCAACCGTGACACGTCTTCAATATTTTAGGATAAAATAACTAAAGAAACTTCAAATCCAAGAAGAAATTTAGTAAAATTTCAAATTTACTCTTCGATTTTTAGAATTTATAGCTTTCTTGTTTATTCATGCATACTGTAAGCTCTATTGTGTATGCTGGAAGCACAATGGTGCAGAAATTAACACAGCAAATATGTCGATTGGTCAGGTTAAATTCTTATGTACAGATGTGAGATAAATAAAACTTTAATTGAGAAGAGTGTCCCGTTTCAGTAACACTTCATTCGTGTTTGAATGAATAAATACTTACCTGTTTTAGTAGGTTCTCTTTTTTTTGTACATTAAGGTACAAAATTATGACAAAAAGGTTCCTACACTTGTAGTTTGTTAGAAGTACAAACTACAAGAGTTAAAATAGTATGTCATGTTAAGGGTACGAACATAGCTGGACTGGCCATCGGGCATACCAGGCCCATTTGCCTGGTGGGCCGATGGGGATTTTTCGTTTTTATGGGCCTTTGTCTTTTTTTCTTCTTCTTCTTTTTTCAAACGGCATAAACAACGAAAAGTCATGGATTGGCCAGATGCTGGTCCATGTGTAAAATGTAAAAATAACTCAGTTGTTTGGTGGTGGATATGGCGGAGCTGGTTGAGGGAAAGGGGAGGCAGGAGGAGCAGAGACCCGAGGTGGCTGCCAGTCCGAGTATCAGGTGAACTGAACTTCAAGTAAGAAGTTATGACCTGCAGTCTGTCTGGGTCAGATGTAAACCAAGTTTAGGTTTAGTTTAATTTTGTCGTGCTGACTTTTTACTGGGTGCTATGATGTTACTGATAGTGAACTTGATTCATTAGGTTAAAAAAGGAATGTCCATACTCAGAGAAAATATTATGCAGTTCGTATTGAGCTGAAAAGGAACACAGTTTGTCCCGAACTTCAGCTAGAATGAAAAAGACACAAAGCTGGAGTTATTCTGTGTGTTTACGCTGTCAGCTGCCTCTTCTTCTCTCATTCTCTCCCCTCCCTCTCCTGTTGTTACTTCAATCATGAAACTGATCAATGATCAGCTGATCGGCTTTTCTCTCTTGTTTGTTTATTGCGCCAGAAAGAGGAAACCAGCGGATGTCGCGCTAAACAACAGCAGCACATTTAAGCTCGATCAGCTGTTGTTAGAATTTTTTTAATATTAATTTCTAGTATCAGCTGATGTTTGCTGGAGCCACAGCTATAAAGCTGCTGGTCATGATGTCGGTTTGGATATGTGGTGAGAGGGAAACATGAAGATGAAACCAGGAGATGTCCTTACTGAATCATCAGAGCTGTGATGGAGAAACAGGTTTACCTTTTAGGTGACATGAATGAGTTGAAGGGAAGTTATGAACTGTTTCTGAGAGACAAATAACACCAGGATCCTTTTTCTACATAGCTGACAGCTGGTAACTGTGCAGGGGCGGGTCTAGCAAAGTGTTGCCAGGGGTCCATGTAGGGAAAAGGGGGGCACAAATAAATACTTTTCTTTCTTTTTCTCATTTAAAATTTCTAGCTTTTAATAAATAATTATCTGAATCTTACAACCAAAGTTTTTATCTGATGTAAAATGTACAGAAATCATATATATACCAACAAGACTGTGCATCACTGTCACAACAGCGTTTGTTTTCATTAAAAGTCTTTATGGCTTTAATACCTGGTGGGCCGGTCTCTAGTCAAAATGCCCGGGCTGATCTTTTGTCCCGGTCCAGCCCTGTCTGAAGTACAAACCTCCCCTTTAAAAAACTCCCAATGGGCCATCAAATAGTCAATAAGTTATTGTACAGCTCGTTGTTTTGGGACACCTGTTAATCAAAGCAGTTACAAAAAAGTTAATCATCATTGAATGTACTGTTGATAGCAAAAGGTTGATAGCACATTTGATATAAAGTGGGAAACTATCCATACAGGTCAAAAATGTTCTTTGTAACAGGCCGTAAACTTGCTATTTGATACTGTTTAGTTGGGTGTTTTAGTCTGTTGGGACTGACTCAAGTCAAATGCCAGAAACTGCAGATTTTGACAGTTGGTTTTATTTTTCAGCTCTGGAAGTTGCCATTAGGTACAATGGCAATCCTTTAGGGAGTACTGCTTCTGTGGCAAACTTTTGTAACCCTAAAGGTACAATAAGGTGCTTTATTTTCTGAGTGTAGCAAGAATTTGGGGCAATTACACCTGCATGAATGAGAGTAGGTGTCACTTTATTTAGTCTTGCAGACAACTTGCTTGCACAGAAATATCTCATTAAAGTTTGCTGTCAGGCTGCAGTTCTGCTGTTTGTGTTGTGGTGCTTTGAACAATGAAATTTCCTCTCTGTGTGATGACAACATTGCCTGTGCTGCTTCATAAGGCCTCTAAAAACTGCTTGCTAACTTCCTTCTTGCTCACATGGTTTCCTGGCAATCTGCCATGCCCCCCTCCCCTCTCTCATCCTCCCTTCCCTGGGTCCATAAGGCCGTTGTGCTGCCTGTCCCGTGTGAGACAGGAAGCAAGGCCCTATGGACAGTGACCTCACCGCAGGAAGAAAGTAGAGGGTGTGTGTACTGTATGCAGTTGTGCAGGATTGTAGGTTGTGCTGCCGCAGTCACTACACAAACTGAACAAAGACACAAATTTGTATATTTTCAGAGGAAATTTTTAATGTGTACATGTCCAGCATGGCTTGTTAACACACTCTACTAGAGGTGAACACACAACACAAATGTATAAAATCTTACATTTTCTAAAGAAAATAAAAACACAACCAAACCCCCCAAAATTAAAATAATTGGAATGTTATTAACAGAAACAAATCAAGTTTGGAGAGAAAAATATGCACAAATCAAATCAAAATAAGACAAATGATCAAAGACAAACAGAGTTTTTTTTTCCATCTAGTCCCACACAGGGTTGAAGGTTTTTTTTTCTGTTTGTTTTTTTTTTTCTTTCTTTTTTTCAGAAAATCACTGAAACATTACTCCGGCAGTAATGAAAAGAGATGCTGTGAGATGCCATGGTTCATTATCGATGGTCAGCACAGAAGTGACTGAATCCTTCAAAATATACTCTTCTCTATAGTAGCTGCAGTTAGTGGATGGAAACAGTTTTCCTAAGTTACTCAACAGTTTCAGTGTCTGTTTGAAGCACGACGAGAGCTGATCCGCTGCAGACGGATGCTGAAAGTCATTTGTCAGGTGCTGTTTTTGTTTCATTCCCGAGCTGAGCGGTCGGGTTTGCCGAGTGGTGATTTCAGATGAGTGGTTTCAGAGTGGATGGGCTCAGAGAGCAAGCTGAGATGCACTCTGGGAAAAGAGAGAAGCATCTGGACAACCCACAATCCCCTTGGCTGGGGTCACTGTAAGCCACAAAGTTAACCCAAGACAAACTGAAACAGGAAAACAGTCTGTCAAGTCCAACAGATTTTGTTTTAATCTTTTTTAGTTCGTTATTTATTAATCTGTTTTTCCTCCTAGAGTTTGGGTTTTGCACAGGGCTGATGCAACGACTTTTTGAAGCTTGCAGTGATTAGGCAGTGCAGAGATACACTGTGACAGTGGGAAGCTGCAAGCTAAAAAGCACACTGTGTGGAGAGAGAAGACACGGCTACAATACAACCTGGCTTCAGACCGATTGTGGAGATTTTAACAGATGTTCATTAAAAAGAACAAAACATCAGGGTTGAATGAGAAATGCTTAACGTGCAGTCTTTACAGAAACACATCCTGAGAGAGATGAAAGCTCAGATTGAGATCAGCATATCCTAACCTTACCTAAAATTTGCATTAAGGGTATGCACTTCAAAATGAACTTCAGCTTTTGCAAGCTTTGAATCTGAATGTGACATCAACAAAAATCAAAGCAAATCGTGTTAAAAGTTGCTGAACAAGTAGGTGGATCTACTAGCAAGCTTTGTTGTGTGTGACAATAATGTGTTAGTGTGTATGTATTAGAGAGACAGAAAATAGGGGGAGGACAAAGAGAGTGAGAGAGAAGGCCATTGTTTTTATTATGATCCCCTCGGGCTTTGAGGGCTGGGCCGAGCGTGGAGAGACGTGGCGTGTGGGAGATTTACAGTCAGAACACAGGCCTAGCTTATAGAGAGGAGGGCTGATTAACTCAACACCTCTACATGCACACAAACAGGCATCAATCAATCTTACAGATCTCTTTCCTAACCTTTCAATACTTCTCTTCTGCTTGGTGTCCTGAGACAAATAAACTGTATTAAACCCGCCAGTGTCCCCTCACAGAAAATCGCTCAAACTGCTGAATCACCAAAACTGTGTTTCTGCGTGAGGCAAACTCAGGTGCACTGGACCTCTCTTTCAGACTTTTGAAGTGGTTACTTTAGCTTTGAAGTGGTTAACTCCCTGTGGGCTCTCTGTTTGGAGGTTATAGAGGAGAATAGGAGGCTTAATAAAGAAGAACTCCATAAACAACTGGGTGTCTAGCGCAATGAGTAGGCACTTTCTGAGCCTGTCCAGACGCTGGGCTGTCTGAATGCTCATTGATGTGCCTGAAGGACCAAATGGAAGAGCAGGACAGTAGAGGAGAGGGGGAGGGAGTGCTTTTAAAGCTGATTAGCTGCGTCCGCCAACCCCTCCTTCCCCACAAAAGCTTCATGATGAGGAGATGAGGGATGGACACGGGACACCGTTTCCTGGCAACTGCTATCGACCTGCCTCAGATCAATCTCCAGACTTCTGGTGACGGCTGAGTTTGCTCTTCCTTTTCCTCCTTTCAGTATGGGTATCCTGTTAACTTCAGGTCTGACTACTTAGGTGTCTCACTTTGCCCTATCTTCTCTTAGTGGGAGGCCTAGCAGAACAGCAGTATCAGGTTAGGCCAATGCACTTACACCTTTATCCATGGACAGAGTGCTGGTGTCCAGTTTAGAAGTTTAATGTATTTCAGCCAAAAAATGACAAGAACTGCAAAAAGCTGGCACCAAACATTGTTTTGGATATGACAATGCTCTACAGAAAAATTCTCCCATGACTGTCTGCCATAATATCCGCAACACAGAAATGACCCCAACTACTATTCAAAATCTTTTAGAATATTTGATTCTTCGCATGTGGAAATGTGGGCTTTATTAAAAGGCACCGAGGCAGAAATGGCTTTGCACCTGCACTGACATGAGCACTGGATCCATGGAAAATAAGTATGAATGCTGCCAATAAGGAGGCTCTAAAGCATGCATGTGCTTATACAAAACTACAAGTGAAACACTTTGACAAGCTTTCTTAAACGAGGCCTGTCACCTACTCTAAGCGAAAGTTTCCTCTTTGGCCAGCACTGCTGCTGAACTTGCAAGGGAATCTGGGTCACATGGGTTGTTGCCAACTCTCTCTCCCTCTTCTCTTTGTCTCCTCCTTCTTCCCACCCTTCCTTATTCCTGAGATCTAAACTTTGCAAGCTCAGGGAGCCGAGGTCAGGCGTGTTCCCTCAGTCCTCCTTCCCCCTTTCCTTTTCTCAGCTGCAAGAAATTCAGACTCTCGATACCCTCCCCATTTGTGTAACCTGAGCTGGGTGAGCTGAGCCAACCCCCCACCCCCCAGGTCAGAGTGGCAGCTTAGTTCTAAATGCTACTTCAGATAAACCTTCCTCCAATTTATGTCTGAAATCAAACTTCTAAACACTTTCACTCACACACTCATTTTATGCCTTATCTTCAGGCATAAACTCATCACGATGAGATAAATTGCTGCCATTAAGAAAAATGTTGACTGTAAAAGGTCACCACACCTGGTTTTAGCCTTTCATGACTCTTTATCAGCGTAGTCACCGTTTTACACCAATTTTCCAGTGTGTGTCTGAATGCACTGAGAACTCCGTGTAATAAAGAGGCAATTTTCTGTGCATGCCTTCTTGAGAGATGAAACGAAAGCCGACTGTTTTGACTCAGTAAGGTCAAAGTTTAGTTTAGAGGTTAACGGCATTTGCGCACACCTGCTGTTATTTGATGAGGAGGATTAGTCTGTGTTCACATAAGCCCTCATGGCCTGAGCCCACCCTGGTGCTTACAGTAAGACTGCATATCATCCCAGAAGTCTCTTTAAAAAATACTAGCAGTAAAAGATGCATTATGTACTGCATGGTAGACGAGCTGCACTCCGTGAATGCTCTGTAACAGCCTTAGCTTTGTTTCCCCCTTTTATGTCTCTCGCACACCCAGATGCTCTCCCTCCTGTGTTATTTCACAGTGAGCTGACTTTGTTCATTAACTATTAGTCCGTCTCCTTCACGGCACAAAGGACAGGTCTTATTTTTGACATAAAAGAGGATCTCTGAGAATTAGCCCCACAGTTGAGAACTAAAGGAAGAGGTCCCCTTTATAGTCTATTTATCCTTTCAGCCAGAGAGCTCTTTAACAAGACAAGCTTCCAAATAAGGGAAAGAAAGAAGGCAGACCTACTGTCCATCAGTGTGAACACAAGATATGGAAGGCATTAGTCATCTGACCTTAAAGGGTTAATTTATTTGCAGTGCCAGTGTTTCTATCTAGAATCATCTATGGAATTATGTGACTGTGTTGCTAGTTAATTCTGTCTACTGGCATAAAAAACATGAGTGAGGTTGAAAAGCTTAAAAGCTTTTATAGCTGCCGGACTGGAAAACTAAATCTTTTCCGGAGACAAAAGTGGATATAGACATAGACAGAGTAACACCGTGTGTCTGCAGAGTGCATCGATTTGTTTGTCAATGAAGTTAAACAGCCAATTGTCAGTCTTAGGCTACTGTATCATATACCTAGCAAAATGTCTTTTTTCACTACTTTGCATTGTCTAAATAAATAATATGTTCACCAGAAGGTTACAAGAAATTAAAAGTATGTAATAGCCGCACAGCTCTGGCTTTATTATCTTGTTTGTTTAAACCCTGTTTGACTGATATACATGTAACCTTCTCAGATCTCACAGTGAATACAGAGTTATTATTAACATAAATAGGAGAGACTGCAACAATAAGATTTAATGGTTTAAAAACAAACCTGCCCTCCTCTGACTAACAATCTGAACTCTGAATTAACCTTCAGACTTACAATCACACCCTAATCACCATCAACAAGAGTCAAAGAGAATAATATCTGAGCTCGTTGCAGGTCCCAAAACACCTCTTCACAGATTCTCCTGCAGAGAAAAGGAAAGACAAGAAACACGGAGCTGATGAGAGGAAGGAAAGAACCCTTCTGGACCCCACTTGAAGCACTGTGGCCTGTCTACAAATCTTTTTAATGCTTTAAATTTCTTCCTTTTGTGGCAACTGAGATAGTATAAGCTGATGTCAGGTTATTAGCGAGGAAAAAGCCCCTACGGAGATTAGGGGAAGGAGGAGGGCGGAGCAGAGATGTGAGAGAGAATAGACCGGCCTTCCTGCTTTAGAAGTAATAATAACAACAACAACAAAAAAGTCACATAAAATGAACCAAAACAAAAAGAACAAAACTATGTGCAAACTTCTCTCATATAAATAGACTACAGTCACTGCATTGTAGAGCACCATGGGAGACAGGAGGAGGTTAGAGAGGTGTGTGTCTGTGTGTGTGTTTGAAAATGTAAGACATAAGTTACGCTCGCGTCTAGTTTGTGTGTATGTATCATTACAGTATTTGCATGGATCTACTACCACAGAGCTGCAGGAGCCACTGAGCACAGAGACTGGAGACAGATGGATCACTGGGAAGAGGGCTAGATTAGAGGAGGAGGGGGCATCTAAGGTTTAAATCAAGTTCAGCGTTCAAAGACCTAACATCAGGGGTCAGACCCAGTCCTGAAGTGAGCGTTTGCAGTGCACCAGCAGGCGTGGTGCCCCTTTGCTCTGCAGCGTGTTGATGATGGCATAGATCAGTCCCAGGATGCACAGCACCAGGACCAGTGGGATGGTTACCATCAGGATGCTCATGGTCCGCTCTTGGCTGTCGTCCACCTTCAGTACCACATCCACCTCATTGGTCTTCTCCTCACGTCCCTCGCGAGAGTCTTGATCTTTGTCACCGTCTGAGCCTTTGTCTTTGTCCGTTCCCCCGCGATCTGTTCCGTCCCGGTCTTTGCCCTTGTCGCCGTCACGTCCTGCGTCGGGGTTAAATGGCGGGCGGCTTACGTCTGGGTATTTGCGGCCCGAGTCTGTGTCCGTGTCTCTGTCGGGATCCAGGTCCACGCTGCAGCCCATGAAATCTCTCAGGATGGATTTTGGATAGCCCGGTTCGCTTTTCATACGGTGGTTGTCAAACTTCCAGTACTTGGAACCCTTATAGAAGTAGGTGTATGCTGAAATATAAATGGAGAAAACATGAGCCCACAAAGAATGTTAAAGCATGACTAAAAGAATAATTAGAGTTTTTGAGAGATCTTTAAAGAGTTACCAGATAACTGACAGCTGTACGTGATTAAACAAGATATTTGTACATCTTAGAGAGAATAACAGTCTGTATTTGTTCCCCATTAGAGAGAAGTAGGTGGTTTCTCCATAATTTGAAGGTTTATACTGAGCTACGCTAACATGATCATTTAAAAAAAAAAATCTAAATTATATTGAGCCTCTTGGCAAAAAAATAAGATTAATATATTTATCAAAAAGTCAAACTGTTGCTTTAATAACTTCAATATTTTACTCTAAATTCTCTCTGTGTTCAGTTGAGGCAATTAAAATTACTCAAGTGGCTACTGTCAGTCCAATAATTGCTTATTTCTAACATATCTGCAAAGAAAAAGAACTCCCCACCCAGAATGTTCAATAAATCCAATCATAGCAAAGCTCAAAATCACCTTTTTTGGATTATTATAGTATTAAAATCAATAAAACTAACAAGCTGAGGGACTTCAATGAGGCAATCAGATGAAGAATCCCTGTTTGCACTCTCTTAATCAACAAAGAGGTGGAAGTACAAACTGTATGCTATAAAAGTATGCAGTTTTGGTCTAGTTTTCATCTATTATTTATGAATTGATGTTGCTTTTGAACACCATTCAACTGAAGAACAGCCACTAAAGACAGCACGTTTTATGAAATCAGAGATTTCATAAATTATCTCAACAAGAGTGTGCACAACAACTCTTAATAGAAATCAGCTACCAAGTCAAACAAATAGTGAGCAAAAAATAATTCAAATTGACAAGAATAGAATTCTAAATAATTCAATTACATGAAACTCATAAACTATAAATTTGCGTCCCTAGGAGTCAAGACACTGAATCACTCCTCTCCAATAATGCACAGTAAAGCCAGAAGCATTTCACATGTCAGTTCAAAATTACACCCACACCCTCCCCCATCTCCTGATGACTGACCACACCCTGATTCTTTGTTTCAGGCATGTCTCAGTCTGCCACAGACCCTCTTCTCCCCTTTCCAAACACAAACACATACACAGAAACCACACCGCTCACCTCCATCATCGCTGAGGAAGGCCCCCTTGGGATTAGAGGGCACTGACGTTCCCCAGACACTGATTGACTTCGGGTAGCCTCTGTCAGCTGAGCGAGACTGCTCGTTGAAGCGCCAGTACCTGAAGACAGAAAGCAGGAGAAGGTTGATACTGTTTATCAACTGTCTAAACAAGAACAGAGCAGACGTCTTCCTCAGTACACTACATGCTGGGTCTGCACGGAGTGCATATCACAGTACCGCTTCCACAGAATACTTGTAGTTCTGTGAGTTAATATGCTGTGAGCGTTCTGTACACATAAACCTTCAGGGCGTGTATTTTCACGCACCAAAGTCAAACCACTCACTTCATGGTAGTGAAAATAAAGTATGTTTGACATGAGCTTTTCTGCACAGTGGTACGGTTACGGGCTGTAGTTCAGTTAAAAATAGTTCCTACATCAACCAGCTCACAACAAGGTTTATGGATGGCTTCTGAGTAACTGAAACATGATTTCCAAAAGGAGTAGATTTTTATTCTATATAGAATAAAAACAGATGAGTGAAAAAAAGGCTGTTCTTACAGTTTTATTTCTGCTGGTATTTGGTCATAAAATCTAGGGAGTCAATGTCTGAAATCCATCTCACATCAGCCAGGATGAGAGTGAATTCACTACAATCATGATACTGATATCATGATAGTGACAGAGGAAAAGTCTGTGGACTGCCAAAATGAGTAAGATTCATCAATTATGGAGCATGACGGTCTGTACTAGCTGTCGTAGCAATTTAGCATCTAACTGGTGAGATATTCCAGTCTGGAACAAAGCTGGACCAATCAACAAATTGCTGTTGACCTTTGTAGCTGGGACGAGTGCAAGTTGATCACTAGGTTTTTCAAGACATTGCTGCCCTCAATAAAAACAGAATGCAATAATTTGCTCATAAACACTAATTTTATTAACAACAGAACACAAAGTATCAAATTCTTAAATTGACACATTTCACTGTTTCATGAAAAAGCTAATTTTGAATTTGAGGACATTAATATATCTCGGAAAAAATGCAGCAAGAGCAACGAAGGGCTGGAAATGCAAGTAGGACTAAGAAGAAACAGGTGAAGCAACTAATTAGGCTAACGGACAACAGATTGGTAACATGACTGTGTACCAGGAGAGCCTCTAAAGGCATCAAAAGGCACCATTAGCACTGAAAGTTTTCTACAGTTTTTACAGAAACAAATGTTCCCACCAGATGCCCTTTTTTTGTTTTTTAAGGGAAGAAATTCTATATTTCAAGAAGACAATGTTAAACTGCATACTGCATCTCTTACAAAGGGAGGTTTTGTAGTAGAAGTGTCTGGGTGTTGAACTGGGCTGCCTGCAGTCACCAGCTAAAAACGTTTGGCACATCATGAAACCAACAGTACAACACAGAAGGCCCAGGACTGTTGAGCAGCTCATATCCCACGTCACACAAGAGTGGGACGATATTCCTCTCTGAAAATTTCAGCAAGCGGTCTCTCATGAGTCTGTAAACGTCGGTTCCCACACATTTGTGGACTGTTGTTAAACAAAGGAGATGCTACACAGTGATAAACATGACCCTATTGTGTTTAACACTCCTTAGATTAAACATTTGATTTGTCAAGTGACCCTGCAAGAACTTGCCAAAAGCAACCAAACTACTGATATCCTTTTAATGCAATATACTCACAGTTCAGTGTCACTCAGACAGAGTATAGGGCTATATTACCTGTCTCCTTGAAAGAAGTAAGTGTAGCCGGATGGCTCCCACCAGATGGCTGTATCTATTCGGTCGTAGGGAATATCTATACCATAATCGACTAGCTCAAGTGGGTAGCCTGGTTCCAGGTTAGCCTCTCTGAAAAGCCAGAATCTGTTTCCTGAGGAGAGGAGAGAAATTTTATGTGATGCTTTCTGATGTATACATTGGAGCATTCCCCTATCCACTCTTACCCTTATATGGAAAATGTTACCACACACAATCACATTGTATATGACATATATATGGTTACCCACACATCATAAACCTTCGAGAATGCTCGTGCACACATGTTTAATTTGCTAGCAATTACGGATAAGAACAGTCCCACAAACCAAGCCAGCATTTACACACACTTGTAAATAATAAGAATGCAATAATGGATTATTGGCAAGCAATCAAAAAAAAACTCAGCAGAAGTGAGTACGACATCCCTGACTACAGAGTTTGGGTTTGGCCTGTAATTATGCACAAGGAGTGGCTTGTCTCATGTCAGGCTAAAGCACATTTTGTTGCTGAAGGGAACGTTTTATTGTTTCTCACAGTATCTGACAGGGGGACTGTGTTTCACCATTACATCTCCTTTTGGCTTCATTCTGCCTTTCCCTCACCCGCCCATCCATCCACCCACTTCTGGCCCCTTGCTCCTCATTTAAAAAGAAAGCTCTACACTCAGCATCTGGATAGAACAAGAGGTTGACGCAATGCTTCCCAGGGTTCCTGCGGTGCACAGCCCTCATGTAAAATCCCATGACTTACTCCACAGCTTTTCAAGGCAATGCCAGAGCACTTCAGTGACATAAAAATCCGATGCCTTTTTTTCCCCTGGAAATCTTTTTCTACAGGGATGAACAATGTTGTTTCTATTACAGCTGGCCTTGTTTTGGACCAGAGCAGCAGGGAAACCTCTGGGTAACACAACAGCTGTGCAACTGGCTTACAGTAAAGATTTACTTTACCGCACTACAGTAAATCAGTACAATACAAACATCAATTCATCCATGTATTACTGTATTTCAGAGTGCACAGATGCAGGATATTTGTACAACAGCAGAATATCGTAAGACTTTGTGTTTTGGCTTAAGCGATGAGCTCGAATGTAGAAATTGGGCAGTGATGAAAAAATATACCCAGGAGCCTTACAGGTTGATTGAAGGGCTGGTGGAGCGGTAGAAACAGCAATTTTTCTGCATGAGCAGATCTCTAGACTGTGTGTCAGGGTTTCTTTACTGTCTCCATTGTGCTTTAGTTTGATTTGTCAGGTTGGCTTTTCTGTGCTTCTAGTTTCTAGTTTGGATATAAAATAATAAACAAAAAACAGTTCAGTTTATTGCTAATGTAAAAACATGTACAGTGTTAATATTTGGTGTCTGAATTAAAACAGTTGCCATAACTATTACTCAAAACCACATTTCAGATCCCAAAATCACCAAAGGAAGAAAATCCTTTTGGGCCATTATTTGTAGCTACAACGGTCGAGACTACTATAATCCAGAGTTTATAACAAAACATGTCTTAGCTGGAGCCACAAAATTCATCAGCATTGACACACAATTTAAGTGAAACCTGTTTTAGTATTTCAATTCAAAGTAGTAGCACATAATATTGCTCATTAATCACAAAGATATGTCACAGTATCATGAAAACTTAGGATTGAGTTGAGGTGGGTTGAGAAGTGGCTTGCAGATGCACCATAAAGAGCGCAGGCGATATGAGGTTTGGATTTTGGAGGTGTTGAACGGTATCAGCTGATGTGGGCTTGTCTTAAGATCAGCTGGTTGTGCCTGAAGCTGTGCTTGTTTCTTGGCCCATGATTGAAAACTCTATTTCACAAGTCTGCAAGAACTTGTGCACAACAGTGATGAGTGATTGCTTTAGTCACCACCAGAGAAAGTAAATGCATTGACTGATGCGATGGGTTTAAATACAGGTGTTCATAATAGGCATCCTATTGTTGTGCTTGTCCCCCTTAATCTTATACTCTGCCAGTTTCCTTTCTTCCCTCCCTCTTTCCTCTTCCTTTGTCTCACTCTTCCTTTGCTTAATGGCTTCTCGCCAAATGTCATGCAGAGTCTTGCCGATGACATCATTCTCCTCATTATCAACAGCTGCCTGAAAGCCCGAAGCACCCAGAATCAAGCAGCCGAGTTCTTCTTTTTTCATTCAACTTTATTCGCTGTTGTAAAAGACAAGCTGCTCTCAGAGTCTGTGCCAAAATAATGAGCTGTTCTAAAAAAGATTAATACTCAGCATGGTGAACACATTATGTACTGTTGCTTTGTTAAGGAAGTGGGACTAAGGATATCTTCAACATTATCTGTAGAAGATAGAAAAAGCTGCAGTCAGTTTTACTGCTCATATAATGGATTGAAACTGCACTCGGGTTGAAAAAAGAAACCAGATGTGAGGGTTTTTTTGTTTTCTATGCACGAGAGTGCACATGTTTATGTGAGATATATTTATGGTCCATATGTCCAGAAAAAGTAAATACCTGATCTATAAAGGTGAAACAAATAGAATATGTCAACTCTGACATTAGCAAGACAGACTGATTTATGATAACACCTGGACCTACACACTAGATACAGATGTGTTTATCTCACATCGCTTATCTCTTTATCTAACTTTTATCTTTTTATTTTTTAAACTGCATAACCTGGAATTACTTTCTCAAGCCTGGATGCCTTGTTATAAATGCCCAATGCATGAATTCTTTTATTATGAATTTTGACCTTAACCTTTGACCTCTACAATCTGATCAGTTCAGCCTTGAGTCTAAGTGAATGGTTGTGCCAAATTAAATAAATAAATAAATTCCTCCAGTCATTCATTAGCACATTCGTGATTGGGATGGATGTGCGGTCAAAGGGACCCTGACCTTTGACCTCTTTTTACCAAAATCTAATCAGTCATCTCCGCTGTTTCCATTGATTGTTGGAGGCTGAAAACTGCAAGCTTACATCCACTAATATGCATTTTTCTTTACAGTTACTAAGCAATAAACTGAATTAATCCCATTTGACTTCTCATATTTGGTATCAAGGTGACATAAATCCTTTACAAAAAGAGAATACATGTAAGAATAGTAACAGCATGAGTGTGCAAGACAAGTCATCATAGTCATCATTTACAGAATAGGAAGCATGCATCCATCGGTATGTGCACCAGTATTATCTGCTTACCTTTAAAGAAGACGAACCTGCCATCATGTCTCTCATATGCAGCATCAATGTCGCCAGGGAGACCCCTCCAAAAGTGACCGATTGGCATGGGGTAGTTATCCAGAACCCTGTTCCTACGCACACGCCAGAACCAGCGGCCCTGAGGGGACACAGTACGAAAGTTTGGCTTAGTTTCTTATCTTTTCAGTTAGTTTTAAGAACTCGCTCCTAGCTGAGACTCAAGGAAATACAACGACTGCGAAGTAAATCGATGACAGGAGTGCAGGAGGGGAAGAGCTTCATATCACATCCTTAGCTTTAAAAACAATTCTATTCAGAGAACATGCAAAAAGACACAATAAGAAATATTTTCTCAAGTCATCCATGCAGTCACCCCAGCTGAGGTCACATACACTGTTGCTTTTTTGTCCTCTATGCGAAGCAAACTGAGCTCTGCAGGATAATTAGTCCAGAATGTACAATAAACTAACAATAGCAGAACACTAGCAGGCTAATAATAGTCAGTCTCTGCTCTGCTGGTTTTATCATGTTCCCTCACTGCAGTCTCTCTGTTGATCAGTCTGCCATGAGATGCACTTTAATAAAGAACTGTGGTGTTTGTTCGTCACGTCAGTGACACAAAACAAAGAAAAAGAAAAAGCATATTTTTACCCTTCATGACACTTTGGTTAGTGAACACTCATATCTACTGCAAACAAGCAGCAGACAGAGTTTAACCAGCAGCCCCTCGACTCATTCATAACTGGTGAGTCAGTAGCCCTGCTTGTCCTGGATGCTATAACAGTAAAATGCTGGGTGCTGCTTCTTTCTGGCAAGCACTGCTAGTTTTGTCCTTCATGCAGGACACACTCGCAGACAGCACGGCGCGGCACAGAACAGAACACACTGGAGATGTGTTGGTGAGTGAGACAGAACAGGGCTGAATCCAACTGGATGCTCAACCGTTTGTCTGGTCGGACAGCTCCTTTCCTACAGAATTAACCATATTAGAGCAGATCTCAGTGTGGGAGTTTCATTACTGAGAACTGCTCAGTGTGCTGGCTCTCTTTATGTCGAGACCTTCTGCTGTGAAGTGGACAAAAGAAAGAAACTTTTCCTGAAGAATGACAGCACCTTTTTTCCTTTAATGAACAGGACTCCATAGAGAAAAGAGTGGAACTGGTGTGCTCCGAATTACTCCTACTCATTCAGGGAGCAATTTTGTCTGTGCAGAATAATAGCAGAGAAAACCAATGTCATATCATTTATTTGAATTTGGACGAAAGCTGACCGACAGACAAATGTTTCCACGCATAAAGCCACACTTTCCTTGGCTAAAAAGGAAGAAATAAAGACGACTGTATTATAATATTACAACCTTGCAATTAACTTTCAGGCCAAGCTGGGGAGGAGTGATAGAGAGAAATTTGAATAAATGATAATTACAGCTCAAAATCAACAAACCTTGATATAACCACATGAATAAATCTAACCATGAATATATATTTATTGCTTTTTGTCTGCATTTGCTCTGATCAGGTAATTTCTATTTTTGAAGCTCATTAAGAACTGGTTAATTTTGGACAATGAATAATAATGTCTCATGACGTTAATGAAACCCATGAAGACAGACATTAACGTCTGCGATGAAACCCAAGAGTACAAATATAACTGCTTGACCATGTGTAGCATATGTCCAGCCAGTCAGATTTCAGAGTGTGTAATGACTGGTCAGTGTCGCACACACTTAAGAGTCCAAGACAGGAGCTATTCATAGACTGATCTGAGTACTTGGGGAGGGAGGGGGGGTGCAGTGGTCTGCTGTGTGGACTACAAAGCAAATGAAAGATCCCACAAGCAAGAAATATTCACATCTGTGTGTTTTTTCAGCTCTGCAAACACCCCAGATCAAGTTTGCTATCTACAGCTGCTGTGAGCCCTAATGCTTCAGTTCAATGTCAGACGTCAAAACAGCAGAGCAACATTTCTGGAGGTGAAACTGAGGCTTCTTTAAAGTAAAGCCTGCATGTCCCCTGCCCCACTCCGTATAATATCTGCAGCTCTCTTCACTAGTCAATGCTATCAACACTGGACACCTTTTCTGGCCTCTCCCATGGAAACACCTAATTACTTATCTTTGCAGAGCTGCACTATGTATAAACCAACGCCAGAAAAAAGAAGATCTGAAATGGATGGGAGGAAATGGAGCCCTACTTGCTGCTGAAAGTTCAATAAATTCAATTGAACACACAGCACCTGCACAGTGAAAAAGTACTGGAAAAGCTGATTAAATAATATCAAAATACCCATATAATAAATAATGAGAGAGGAGCTGCAGCCAATAACACGATCAGTTTAAATACTAGCATCTACAAGACAAATCTCATAAAGGTTAAGACTCAGTTAATATCTAACTGCTGCCGCAGCTAATGTTTTGTGTGGGCCCAGAGGCTCTTTAAACACCTGACCAACCCTCAAACCCTTTTAACTGTTCTCAGTCTCATAAAAGAACACCAGCTCCGTGGGTTTACAATCCACAAGCACCTGATTGAAAACAGACCCCTTGTTGGCTGCGTACACGCCATTTGTCGTAACTCGTTTCTCAGGAAAATAATAACTAATATATTGAAACGGTGGAGTTGTCATGAAAGCTCCTTTCCTGGAAGATGACTTAATTTCCAAGGAAGGTCATACTTGGAAATAAACTCATGGTGGCAGAACTTTTCCATGTATTGCTTAATGAAGCACCCTGAAGCAGTTGCTGTGATTTGGCGTTATATGCATAAAAAATTGAATTTAATTGAATTTAATGTTCACAACATTACAAAGACTCTCAATTTCTTAATCCGCAAACCATTTACCTTGAAGACAAACATCTCTCCTCGGAGCATAGCAACAGTGTCAAAGTTTCCCTCACAGATATTGGGTCCATAATGATCTGGTCTTTCGGTGGTCCTGGGCCTATCAGGTTGCCGAGGAGGTGTTTGAGGTGGTCTGGGCTCTGGGCGACGTGGTGCCACTGTAGGCAAGGCCTGGGTGGGACTGCTGTCAGGAGGACCTTCAGGAAGTCACAGACACAATACTTTAAACTGAGTGGATAACTGGTCACAATTTAATATCAAGAATAAGATTTCATGTCTGTATCATTTAAAAGATACGTGTGAGGATTAAAAATAAACTCCTACCATAGATCTGTTGTATCCCCCGCCGGTCATCCTCTGGCAACTGGAAGTTCTCCGTTTCCATCCACTGGTAGAAGGGAGCCATGATGGCTAGAGGATTGTTGGAATGTTCTAAGCCCAGGGCGTGTCCCAGCTCGTGGACTGCTACCAGGAAGAGGTCATTACCTGTATGAATGAGAGATAAGTTAGAATAAAAGAGGAGAGAGGCAAACAAATAAAGGGCTCACAAAAGCTAACCGAGTTCAAGTTGCACTGCAGTACAAAATGCAAGATGGAAACCCCCAACAAAGTAAACCACACCCAGTGCTTGCTTAGTGGGTTCAATCCAGTCTCAAAGTTTCCACAATCTCTATCCCTAAACATAGAGAGATTTTTATAGGCAGAGGATTTAACAAATTGGTAATATCAGACACAATAGCCTTTAAGATAGAGATTTTCCTGTTGTGAAGATTTTATTTCTTGTCATGAAGAACAAAGATGTCTGGATCTTTAGTTTCTTGGATTATGTGGATGTATCAAGATTCTCAAATTCACAGAACGCTCAGTTTGCTTGGGGCGTAGGTGTTGTAGAGTTCAGTCATTGTTAGAGTCATGAAAATGTTGTTATCAAAGTGTAAACACAACACTCTTTACAGAGTTCTGTGTCGTAAACTCAGCTTGTCTCCACAGTCACTACACTTCAATGCACCAGCTGTGCACACATCTTCACATCCTCCAGGCAGAATGTGTAGTTTCCACAGCATTCGCAAGCACATCTGCAACTAGGGCTGGGCGATATGGTCTAAAAGCCATATCGCGGTATAATTTGAAGCATGTGGGGTAACGATATATATCGCGATATATTCTGTTCTTCTGTATAACGTATTTTCCACATTATAAGGGGCACTTAAAATCCTTTAATGTGCCTTATCTATGGATTCTGGTTGTGCTTACTAACCTTGAACCGATTTCATGTGGTATACAGCGCACAGAAATCTGGCAAAAATGTTTTAGTACGACTTTGGTAAGCTACGAAGCTGCACCACTTGTTGGATTGTCGGAGCATTACGGCTGCCGTAATCAGGAGCCCTGCGGAGTAATTTGGGTCCAAAACTCCGTCTGCTTCAGGTCCCAAAGTCAAACGAACACTGCAGCATCACTGAGAGTTAAAAACTAAAACTAAATTCTTTCATCTTTAATAAAATGATCAGCATTGCTGCTTTACCAGGTGTAACAATTAAGTTTAACATCCAGGCATTCATGAAAACAGAATTTATTAAATCCAGTAAGCAGGAAGCAAGTTTCCACCTAAACATGATGCGCCATGTTCTGACTGAGAGATTTCTAAAAAACATTAAAACATACAGCTGCTATCACTTCCAACATAAATGAAGACAGAAAACTAAACAGCAGTGACTTTTGTAGGGTTACTGAAGTTGGACTAGCTGATATATAATTGTGTCCTACTTGATCGCTAGTGACACAGCTATGTTAGCATAATATTAGCATAATATAAACAGTGAAGCTGGAGGATGAACGCTAACGTTTTTCCACTCGATAAAAGTGCTCCTTCTCTTTGTTATTACTGTCGCCCGGCATAATTTGCAGAAGATATTGCTTGTAGCCGCTGCCATGCTTTCAACCAAAACAGGCGCAGCTTGATGACACCATCAACATGTGCTATCGCAGTAGAGCGGTATAGTCAAAATCTCTACCGTTCGCCAGATTTGTATCGTTTCTACCATATACCGTTCATACCGCCCACCCTTATCTGGAACCAAGTGTAATTTTCAACTTGCAGCAAGTTCTATTAACATTGACCCTCCAACATGCAGTCGATCTTTCGAGTAATCCATCCAACTGCAATCCAAGATGGTGGAATTGGAGTTTGTTCGACCACAGGAGACCATAAGAGAATCAAGGAAGCTGAGAGACATCAAGGGCCACAACATTGTGACCTGACCAGCAAGCCCACAGCAAAACACGAGAAAGGAAGTACTGTGGTAGGTGATTAACAACTTTCAAACTAAGAGCAAGGGGACTGTCTGGTGGTAAACTGATCATTGTCTTTGACGGATGAAAAATCCCAAATAAATCACAAAATATTAAACAATACATAAAAACTGTTGGTTTACAGACATACAGGGATGATCAAAGTTCATGAAAAAACTGGGGATGTATAACTTTGTACAGAATGATGGAAAATTCAACATGCATTCTTGAGCATCTTACACATACATGACAGAACAACGTATAACAAGTCTACGTATCTGTAACATATCAGATAAAACGAATAGGAACGTCTGTTCATTCTTTTCTATTTATCACACAAAAATCTCCTTAGATCTAAAACATTAATCACACACAGGCATGCTAATGACTGCTGATATGAATCTGTATGCATTTCTGTCCCGTTTAACCCACCAAGACATCCTGTTATCCACTGCCACTGCAATAATATCACTCTGTGCAGCTGTGACGTAGTGACCACTGCAGACCAACATCCTCTCAGAACAAAAGACTACTTTGAGATTTTTTTTTAAAGAAAAATAGAGAGAAACCAGGTTTACATTTTTCATGTCATATTCTATAAGTTCATCTCTAAAGCGAAGCCAGCACACAGCTGGGTACTTCCCTTCCAGTCAATACCTCTTTGTTGCTTTTCACCCTAGGCTCCGGCCTGAGCGACCTTTGAACTTCCTACCCATTTTGTTCACCCTATAATTGGCCATACAGATTGGTCAGATTGGTGCCAGTGACATCATGCTGTTGGGTGTACTGGTGATGTCACTGCTGTACGTGGAACAGAAGGGGGGGGGGTGCTGTAGATTCCTTATTTTGTGCATCTCCTCATTTCCTCTTTGAAACACACACAGGATGCACACAGTTCATCTTGTAATTCCAGAGTCACATGAATGTCCTCACGGCATGCTAAGCGCCAGCTAACACTCGAGGGGAGAAAATAGAAGAGGGTAAGACAGAGTGGTAGAGATAGCTCAGGATGAATGAAGAGAGATAAAGAGCCCTTTGTGAGGTAACTGTGACTACCAGTTTGAAAGAGAAAAGCAAGATTGCACTTCAAATGCTTTAGCCTGGTTAGGTTCAGCCGGTTCCTCTACTGCTAATTCACACACATACATTTGACCTATTTCAACTCCCTAAAGCTTTGTTCCCTTGTTTATCATGCCTCACACCTCATTCATCCTCCACAGGGAGACTATCAGTGTAAAAAAGGGCAGACTAAAGCACCACCTAGACAACCAAAATCCACTACCCAAGTTTGCTCTGCCTTTTGCCAGAAACTTACTCATCAAAAAGCTTCTGACCTTTTCCCGTTACCAGCTTACCACATTTTATCTGAGAGAAAGGTGTTTGAGTTTTGTGGATAACGTGTAAAAGCTGTTTTTGTTTTCCCTGCCAGAAAGCCTGATTAATCACACTGTGCGTCACAAGGTTCACACCAAAACTCTTTAGCCTAGTAAAAGAGCTCTTTCTGAAGCTGAGGTCAAGGAAAGGGAAAGAAAACACCATGATGAGTGGATCAAATGCATTTGTGCTTTATCGTCAGCTGCTGTCTATAATTTTTTATGCCGAACTATTGATTGCTAAGCTGTGTTTGTCCAGAGCGTTCTCACTCCCGAGGTGTAACATGTCGACGTTTTGTCACGTCCCGCGGCGTTCCTGAGGAACGCGAAAGGAGACCTTCGGCGTTCTTATGGTACGCGGCGGGTTATGGCTGGAATCCAGTGCAATGACGCTCCCGCGGTAATAGACGTTCCAGCCCTGTATTCCAGCCCTAAACCTAACCTTATCCCTAGCCCTGACCATAACCTTATTCTTGACCTTAACCAGGACTTTAATGATGTTAAATAGCGTGTTTCTAAGTGATTTGAAGAAAAAGAGCAAACATGTGTAGATTCAGTCCAGACGGTTCTCATATTTCCTCTTTTTTCCGAGGTCGTCATTTAGGAACGTGGTGGGTAGCCGAAAACGTAATATGGTGACGATTTGTCACCTAGCGTAAAATGTTACGCTTTGGGAGTGAGAACGGGTTGGTTTGTCTGATACAACTCAAAAAGAGGTCAGAGGTGAGAGCTCATTTTGTTCTGAGGACCCTTCAGCAAAGCATATGCTGACTAAGGCTTTAACGTCACTCTTCAAGTCTCGCTTTTTCTTTCAGCACATCTGCTGCTCTAAGAATAATCTTCTTTCTGCACGTTAGACAAATAACCCCTGTTATGTTGACTAAAAGTCTTCATCAACATCATTTCTTTGTTTCATTGTGTTCATTTGAACTCGTCCTAAAATGGGACCAGACAAACTGATTTATTATTTCAGCCTTTTTCAGTCCACTGACTTTAGTTACTACTAACAGCTAATCCACATATTTTTTGACCATTTTTTTTGAAAAAAAGTTGAAACTATTATGCGTCAATTATTTTATTATGCAAAAAAATTCAATTGGTTTGTCCATATAGCTATCCATTCAATTGTTAGAAACCTGTATTTGTAATTGTATTTCTAATTTTAACCTGTTATTATTTATCCATTATAGTTACAATTAAAATTATACAATTTTGACTGCTAACCATCCAACATGAACTTCAATTGAAAGTGGAAGAAAATGGGTGGACTACATATATGATATTTAAAGGTTTAAAAAACTGAGAAAGAAAATTGTTGCTGTTAAAAATAAATACTTGTGACTTTCAATTGTCACTCCATCAGGCACATACTAGACCAGGGGTGGGGAACTCCAGGCCTCAAGGGCTGGTGTCTTGCGAGTTTTAGAGCTCACCCTGGGTCAACACACCTGAATCAAATGATCAGTTCATTGCCAGGCCTCTGGAGATCTTTTAGACATGTTGAGGAGGTAATTTACCCTTTAAATCAGCTATGCTGGATCGAGGACACATCTAAAACCTGCAGGACACTGGCCTTTGAGGCCTGGAGTTCCACCACCCCTGTACTAGACCAATCTGCATGACCTCTGTCCTCCGAAAGAAAATAACAAAGAAAAACTTGCATGTCACATAAAAGGCTACATTTTTGACAAGACTGACTACTTAGACACAGCAACTAAAGTGAAGACCACAATGAAATTTAGCGGCACTTTGCTTTCAAGCGGTGTAAGTAGCATGGTGCAGCAAAAAGACCAGTCTCCACATCTCCCAAGTGGAACACACTCCCACTTAGAGTGGCATTCCATCCATCCCTGTGAACCTGCAACACATCCCACACACAACTGATCACACAGATACAGGCTTGTACATGCACACACACACAATACTTAGCTGTGTATGTCAGCTGGATACGCAGATAACAGACAGGCCAAAAAAGGCTTTTGTTGAAAAGTAAAGTCCCCATTTAATCAGCAACAGCATTTTTGTCATTCTTCACTTCTGCATATAACTAGCTTAGTGCTTGTCACTGTTGTTAAGGTTTTTAACTGGTCAACATGGGCTCATCCTACCAAAGGATGCCTGAGGGCGTAAATATGAGCATAAAATATTTGACTTACTTCGATATGATCCGTCTAACAATTTGTCTTTAAAGCCAATAACTGCTAGAAGCAGCATCTACACCCAGACCAAGCTAGAAACGAAGCTTCTTCTCTCATTAACCCAGAATTATTACATTATGGTGACTTATAGAATAGTTTTTCCTCCGGACATAACGCCTGTTTAAGTCGGTCCTTAGTGAATCCTCTAATGGGATCACTTCTTGATACAGTATTATTTTCAAAATCACATAAAAATGGGCAGCACCATCCTGATCTGTTCTGCATCTGTTGTAATCATTCAGTATACAAATGACTAAGACAGAATGGGTAAATATACTTTGTAGCTTTTTAGGGTGAGTAATAATTTATCTTAAAGTTTGGCAGGTCACCTCAGGGTCTTTTCAGGTATGAGGAAGTTAGAATTCAACCTTTTTTGTATGGGATATTAAATAAAAAGACAATATACCCCTTCCAAGTAAGCATACTAGTACTGGCTCAAATTTAACAGTGAGGCAAATTACGAGTTTTTGACTCAGTGTAAGAACATTGTCCAGATGGGTTTACCAATGTGGCTACATGACTAAAAACATTTATGATCCAAGTTAAATTATGAACAGTTTTGATTTTTTTAAGACCTTCTAATAGTAAATGCGTTTTTAAGACATTTTGAGAATTTATTTTAGAATTTTTGTTTTTAGGGGAGAGTCATGGCTATGGCTCTAGTCAGGACAAAGATGCTAACATTATCACTTGGGGTGTATTTCAAATTTATAGGGAGTTCATTAGGATAAAGACTGAGAGATGTCACAGGGAGTCCACTTTTAAAGGTAAGTGGAGCAGTCGAGCCTGACAAATGAGAGATGATGTAAGTGGCTGAGTCTTGCCAACTCCAGTTAGCTGTGGGGGAAATCCACGGGGACAGCTGTTATATAGATCCATTACAACCGACACAACATGACACGACCAGTGATGAAAACTGCTCATCAGCTGGGCCTCCACAAAAACGCCTCAATCATCCACTTCTACAAAGAATTTAACCAAATAACACACTGTTGATATCCAAACCCTTAAGACAAAAGCCACAAAACAATATGTCTCTTGGCAATAAAACGTTCTCCTATATTATCAGCCAAGATGATTTTTAAAGTCTAAAAAATAATAAAATCCATAATGTAACAGATTGACAGAAATCTTTTACCTTGTACATTATGGTTCCCTATGGTCCATGGTTCATCAGAGTCAAAATGCGTGTCTCCACCCATTCCAGGTCCAGGGAAGTAGGCATGAGCCAGAAAGCCCCCCTCCCCATCAAAAGGAGAGCTGTCTCCATGAAAACCTGAAGCGAAGAAGATCATGATGTCGGGCTCCTTACGGCGTCCATATTTGATGTCCTGGTAGGGGATTTCGTCAAAGCTCAGTGGGGTGACCCTCTCCCAGACTTTAAAGGCCCGCCTGATGGCCTCAAACGAGTTATACTCTCCAATTTTTGGAGTGTAGTTCTGAATACTATGGGGAAAAAGAGAGAAATAGAAAAAGGAGAGTGGCCAATATAAGTTTGAAGTAAAATGTATTAAGCATTAATGTTTTTCATTTATATGCTGTTAGAAATTGTCAGTGTCTGGAAAGTTTGAAGAAGATGAGAGCAAAGATCTTCAGACGAGGCAAGTTTGAGTTCTAGCACACTGCGGCAAATGTATACTTAATACAAAAAACATAAAAAAAGCAACATATAAAAGCCGACTTTACTCAAGCCTCAAACAGACAGAGATTACATTCACTTCCTCTCTGTACTGTACATTTGTGGCAGATCGGCTCATCTTTGTTGTTACCTGTAAGTGAGGTGCTTTTTGTTCCATTTATGTCCAGTGAGGGCATAACGTTTCCGCCGAACGTTGGTTTTGATCTGGCCTCCAAACTTGTCAGGCACACCGCAGCGGGGTCTCTTCATAGCACTGTAGGAGATGAAAGAAGTGGTGTGTGTGTGTGTGTTTATGTTGAGAGGATGAAGCAACCAAGAGAAGAGATGAAGGGGAGCATTACATTAAACCTTCTTGTACTGCTATATTTTCGTGAGCAGTTTGTCTGAAACAGCTATCTGTTCTTTCACACTACAGAGGATTTTTTTTTTTTACCAGTTTTCTGAGACAAATCAATGAATAAAGGATTAAAATGGATTGTTTAGTTAAAATTTAGGACTCGTGTGTACTGCCAGTTTATTTGGGCCTCATTAATGGATATACTGTACTAAAACATTACAGTTAAGTCATGCTGACCTTAGAGTTTGAGCGTCGATCTGTCCAGTGACCTCCAAATCGTAGAATCGCTGCATGTCGCTGATAGCGTCGGACAGGATCTGAGCTGATCGCATGGTCGACATCTGTCTGCTAGCCTGGGGCAGGTAACCGTACATCCTCAGCCATGCCTATAATCAACATTACAAAAACTGTATCATCTGGAGCATGTTTATTTGAATTTAAGCTCATTAGAAAGAACTAAATATTATCAAAAATAGCATACTTTTCATTTTAACAGCTTAGTCTACACAGACAAGCCTGTGGAACAAGAGACTTTTAAGAAGAACACAGCAACAGCTGTTTTATAAGCATATTAGCAGTTAAAGCACTGAAGAGCTAAAAACCATAACGTCTGACTTCTACTTGGCTTCTGTAACATGTTGACATGTTGCCTTGATCTTTGTGGGAAAGCTGCTCATATTTATTATTTCTGCAAGTGTACAATCCTGGTTTCCCACCAAGCCTGAGCTGACCCACCATATTTTTGGTGGGTTAATATATTTTCTTAGCTTACTTTTCCTGTTTCTGTGCATAGAAATGTCTCAAAGGCATTTGCTATACCTCGTACTGTTTTACCTGTTCACATGATAACTGTCCACTTATGTCACCTATTCAAAGTAGGTTAAACACATTCATCACTGTATGTAAACAGGGTTAAATGTGACTGAGTGTGCTTGTGTAGGCCATGCTGGAAGTTGGTAGTACACTCCCCTGTGTGTCTGTTTCCCTCTTCTCTCCGCCTGATCTAATAACTTTTACTGTGTAAACCCTGCCTCTTAAAAAAGTAAATTGCTCTTTCAAAACGTATTCTGCTGTGAGTTGTGCTGTATTTAATGCTTGGTATACAAACTGAAGAAAACTTAGTGGGGCCTTCAGCATGTGATGTATTAGTGGAGCATGAGCCCAGTAGTGTGGAGGGTGGGGGTTAATGACAGACTTGAGGGAGAAAACATGATACTTGTCTCAATCATAGATGACGCAAAGACTATTCCACCTGTTATGTAGAAACCCAATATCACACGCGTTTGTGCACACACACTCACACATACGAACATGCACACACATTCACACATGCAAACATGCACACACATGCACACACAGAAAAACCCCTCCATATTGGGGTAGTCTGTGATACTGACACTCATACACATAGTCACATTCCCAGGGGTAGTTCAGGGACTTGTTACTGTGTGTGTGTGTCTGCACGTTTGGTAACGCATGTGCTATAGCTACGTCTCTGTTCTCAGCTCTCAAGATCACACCCATCTTACACAATGCAAAATGCTACCTGATAAAGGCCTTTATTTACTTGACCACTCCTTCAGAGGCATAAACTGACTCGTCCTTTTCAATGTTTTTTTCTTTTTGTCTCACATTCATCTTATAACCATGATAGGCTTGTTACCCCTCCCCCTGCAGCTTGAGCTGGATAAGGGGAAGAAAACCGAATGATGGATTAGTGGATGATGGTAATAAACAAGCCATAAGGGCAAATGCTACTACTTCACAGTGGACAAAACAAGAAATACTTTGCCTGTTTGTGTTCTTCTATGATTAGATGAGATGAACTACCATAAAGGGAACATAACGCCTGACTGATTATTCACTCCAGGTTCTCATGGCATTTCATGAGCTCAATTAAGGTAGTGAATGACTCCTGTCACCCTTTAACTTATGGTGTTTGTTGGATCAGCACCTTCTATCTATTTACCTGAAGCCAACAGGTTTGTTTCGTTAAAAAAACTACATATTATTAGGTGCTTCACCAACGTTATACAGCTGCAGATCATTTAGAAAACTCATCTTCCAAAAAAAGATTATCTTTTAGTAAAACACAGTTAGTTTCCCCAAAACCTCACAAGCTCCAGTATTTCTGTGCTTGGTCTGGGTCTTTCAAATGAAAAGGTTCCCAGTGAAAACACAAGTAACACAAAGGTAAAGTACAGTGAGGCAAACAGATCATTATACAGCACCTGAGAGCTTTGTATTTACACTGCGGTCTATTCAATCACCAGCTGAAGTTCAAGCATGAAAAACCAAAGCATTTCAGCTCTAAGCCAGTGAAGCACTTTGGCCCAGGAGCTTCTTCATTCACCACCTTACAGGTTTTAACCAAAGGTTATGTGATCTAATACTTGCCATTTACACACTAATAACATTGTTGTTTGTTTGCATTGGTAAGAAAACCTCAGAACAAAAGCTTTTCTGGCAGTAGAGTCATTTGTTAGCACTGTGATTAAGTGTGCATATGTGTGCGTTCGTGTTTTGGAGCAGGCAGAAGTGTAGAGAGGTCAACTAGATGTGACCCTGACCCGCCTCTGACTTAAGATAAGGAGGTTGCAAACACACACGTACAAACTAACTTACATTTCCTGAAAGACTTATCTAAGGACTCTCTCTCTCTCTTACAAAGTCAAGGCAAAGAAAACAGGTGTTGTTGTTGAAAAGGCGCTCTTTTCCTTTCAATTAACTTTAGCATGTATGTTTTTACTATTTAACAAAGACAGACACCCCTCTTATACTTTCTACAGCTGCAGTTACTCAAAGATCGGAAAAAATGTTGCCATTAGAGAATGCACACCAGGCTGCACGTTTCACTTCTCAATTTGTAAATGTTAAATGTCAAAAACACATCACCCAAATGACAGAGAATCTGTAAAAAGAATTACTTTTCACTTCATCTCAGCAAATGCTCTTCACATTTCCTACTGCCCATCAAAGCAAACCAAGCAGTTTGCAACACTGTAATAGAGCAACCAATGGACAATTGACCAGAGCAGGCACAGAGGAAGGAGCAGTGGAGAGAAATATCAATTTCTATAAAAGCATGCACACACACACACACACACTGAGTGGGTGAGCCGAGAAAGACCCTGAGTTTATTTCCCTCTATGCAGAAGACTGAATATTTTTTTCACAGCACTGTATATCACAGAACAGTTTACCATATCTATGCTGCCTAAGCCCAGCCAGATTTAACTGAGGCTGCCCACTGAGTGCACAATGCACTGATAGAAACTCTGCAATGCAAAGAAAAGTCTGCCTTCTAAAGAATCTTTTGTCATGTCAGCCACTTGCTTTTCTCCTCTGTGATCAGCATCTCCACATGGTTGCTGTAATAATACCTGATAAAAACAGTAATTGCCTTCATGCTAGAGCTGGGCAATAGAACGATAACGATATGTATTGCGATATAACTTTCTCGATAGAAAAATTAAACTATCGCGATAGACCTCGCCGCTCTTGTCCTCTTAAAAAAAAGAACAGCCAATCCAAATTAAGTAGCGCAGAGCCGAACCAATCACAGCCGCAGCGTCACGTCACGTGACTTGTTACGTACAGCGTAAGTGCCAAGCCGCACATGTGTATTTGTTTGGGAAGCAGCCAGCCACCGTACCGCCCGGGTAATTAAGGAAAAGAGTGAGCCGACTAGAGAAATCTACCGAGCGTGACCGAAGGTTACCGAAGAGAAAACAGATGATGGTTCCAATGCCGGAGAGATTGTCGAACGGAAGAGCCATAGAAGTTCCGTAGTGTGAAGGTATTTCGGCTATTTCAAGTCTGACAAAAAACAGAGTAGCGTGCACCAGACTGGAAATACAATAAACTGGTGCATGCGCTACGTCCACACGTACCCGGGTATTTTTGTAAACGCAGATTTTTCTATGCGTTTGCACCTTTCGTCCACACGTAAACGGCGTTTTTGGTCACTGAAAACGAAGATTTTTAAAAACTCCATTTTTGCATTTACGTGTGGACTAGAAAAACTGAGAAAACGCAGCGTCAAAGGTGTGCGCATTTTTTGACGTTACACTGTGCGCCACGTTATTGTTTCGGTGAAATGAATTTCTACAATACTGTTAATTCTACTCTCTGCAGTGTTTAAATGCTTACATATACACACAGTTACTGTCCCTCCACACATACGACTCGGTTCTGCTTCTATGCCCCAGCTTTGTTTACTTTTTCCCACCGAGGCTTCTAGACTTCTGATTGGCCAACATTTCTGCACGGTTAGGAATCTAGCGCCACCTGCTGCTTTGGCATGTTCATAGCAGCGTTTCCCTTCATTTCTGCCTTTATGTGTGGACGGGATTATTTTTTAAAACGAAAACGGAAAATCTCCGTTTTCAAAAATACCCGTGTACGTGTGGACGTAGCCTCAGTCTCTGACTGGAAGCGCTAATTCGTCATTCGGCTTTTGTCAGACTAAAGTAACTGTTAAAACTGTTTGAAAAGCTCAGCTATACAACAAGGAGAGATTGAGAATTTCCTTTTAGTTCTCAGTTTATTTGATATTGACAAAAGTTAGTCAATTTTGTCTGTTCTTCTGTAAAACAAACTAAGATTTATTTTTAGAATTAATATTTTGTTTCTAAGTGGAATTGACAATTTAGTCTGTTTCATTTGTTCTATTTTGAAACTTAAACGCTTTAGCGGCTGCCTTTTGTGTAGTTTGCAATATTTGCCTTTATTTATCTGAAAAAGTCTCATGTTCCTTAAGTACATCTACCCTGTTGAACTTATTATGGGAAATAAATTTTTAAATCAAAACAAGCTGCTGATTATTTCACATTTTACTTGTGAGCAACGGCACATTTAAATCTTACAAACATAGTTATTTGGCTTATATCGTGATAGATATCGTTATCGCCTGAAATGAAAAAAACATATCGTGATATGAAAAAATCTCATATCGCCCAGCTCTACTTCATGCCTTTATGTTCAGTGTTTTTGTGGAAGGCATCTGCTGTTGTCTCTACATGTGTTTTCTCTGTCCCATTGCTTTTAAATCTATGTATATTTACAACAGGCTGTTGTCAGGTACAAGGGCAGAGTTTCAGTGCTATTAGGAAGACGTATGGGGGCTTATGAACCCTCACCTCCATCGTCTAAAGTAGTAAAGTACTTCTGCCTGGCTGCTCACTTTCCCTCGTCAGCTGAGCTGAATACAAAACAACGTAAGGAATAGGAGAGGCCTCGTGTGTGTATGTGTGTGTGTGCACGTTGGGCCTCGTCTATTAAATGGTCTTTCAAAGAGTCCTTGAGCTTACCTGCCAAAACCAGACCCAGCGATATACAGGGAGTTGTAAAACCTGGCAGTGTGTGTGTGGAAGTGAGAGAGCAT